CTCTGTTAGTTCACCAAGAGCTGGTTGTTAAAAAAAAGTCTGGGGCCTCCACCCTCTCTCTCTCTCGCTCCCTCTTTCACCATGTGACATGCCAGCTCCACCTTCTGCTGCAAGTAAAAGCCTCCTGAGGCCTCCCCAGAAGCAGATGCCAGCACTGTGCTTCCTATACAGTCTGTGGAACCATAAGTCAAATAAACCTCTTTATCAATGATCTAGTCTTAGGCATTCCTTTACAGCAATGCAAAGTAGATTAATACCGCAACCAAGATGTCACCGAGGCCCTCACATCCCACAAATCCCTCTTGTTCTTACTGCAGTGACAGCTTGTCAAACGGGCTATGGCAAAAGTGGGCACAGTGACTCCAACCCCTCACTCTTCTGAAAGCCTGGAAGTGTTATTCACAGCATGGCTGGTGAAGAGAGGATGGCCAGGCAAAAGGCTTCATCTTACCTGACAGGCATTCCCGGAAGGCTGAAGGTCCTGTCTGGGGAAACTTGTAGTGTCCTTGGCCAGGGAGGGACCCCAAACAGCAGACGAGGGAAGGCTCATGGGCTGAGTGAGCCACGCGATGCATGAGCACCAGGTCCCGGGCAGGACTGCTGAGTGTTATTCCTGTCCATCCTTTGGTGGTTTTGTGGCTCCTCGTACCAGGAAGGTCAAGGTACTTAAGAAAGCAAAAGTGTCCAGCTAGTCCTCAGAACCAGAATGGTCATGCTGAGGAGAGCCAAGCCCTGCAGCCCAAGAACCATCTACAAGATGCCCCTCAGCTTAAAGGCGCCATCATGGTTCCTACCCAATCCCTTCTTGCTTTTTCCACCAAACAGCCTGAACACTGAACTGGGTCCAGGAGCTTGGACTCTGCCGGGGTGTGGGCGAGGCAGGTAACTGCTCTGAGCCTCCATTCCCTCTTCTGTGCAGCAGGGGTGACAACCTTGGCTAGAGGGGACCAGTGACATGAGGCACAGGGGTACCCCACAAAAAGGAAAGTAGTGCTAGGCACTCCAATCCCAGATGGGCAGGTGTGGCCCAGGCCTAGAACTGACCACTTCTTGCCTCCGCTCCTGCCCCGGACCCCTGTGGGCACAGGCGCCAACAATAGTACAGGCTACATTTAGGGCGTGCTTGCTAGGACCCTTCCAATTCGCTGATGACAATGACAGCTTTATTCCAGTACACATCTGAACACTTAGTGTCCAATGTTATTCTGCCTGTTACTGTTAGGCAGGTCCGCTTCTACATCTTCTGGACTCTCTGTAACCATGTAGGTGTAAGGTAATCATCAATTCTTTAGATGATCCTGCACATTTGCCAACGTGCTACTTATGGATCAGAACCTAGTCTTTTGATAGCTCACCTATATGTCTCTGGGCTAGAATCAGTGACCTTTTTCAAGCTAGGTCTGGATGTGCTTGGATAGAGAATTTCTCAGTGTTGTCTATAAAAGGCTGGAAGCCCTACTGATAAGACAAGGTTAAGTCAGATTGGAATGGGTTATAACCCTGGGGATTGTGCCCCAAAACCCTGTGACCTTTGGGTGGCGGATTTTGGGCAATGAAATGAAATGGGTTTAGTGGTCAAAGTGCTTAGACACATATATTAACATTCTGAAACCTCTAAGCATCTCTGAGAAACAGGCAGGGCCAGTGTTTATGATTCCCATTTCAGAGATAAAGAGACCAAGGGGTCAGAGAGGTTAAGGCACGTAAGTGGAGAGTCAGAGCTGTCATTCAGTCCCTTAATGTCTCTATTGCATGAGTTCAAGTCCTCATGGCTCGAAGGCCTTCCTTCCTCCCTCCCTCCCTTCCTTCCTTCCCTCTCTCTTTCTCTCTTTCTTTCTTTCTTGATGGGGTTTCGCTCTCTTGACTGAGCTGGAGTGCAGTGGTGTAATAATGGCTCACTGTAGCCTTGACTTCCCTGGCTCAAGTGATCCTCCTGCCTCAGCCTCCTAAGTAGCTAAGACTACGGACATGTGTCACCATGCCCGGCTATTTTTTTTATTTTTATTTTTATTTTTGTTTGTTTATTTATTTTGTAGAGACACAGTCTCCCTATGTTGCCCAGGCTGATCTTGAACTTCTGGGTTCAAGCAATCCTCCTGCCTTGGTCTCCCAAAGTGCTGGGACTACAGGTGTGAGCCATGATGCCCAGCCAAAGCACATGTATCTTTTGTGAGAGCTTTGAAGTTAAGTTTCTCTGCCAGTGTAAGATACATCCTGGCAGCTCCATATTAAGCTTTATTAACATCCAAGTAACTGTGTGGCATCCCTGTTTGGTTTTGGGGACACTGGACTGACAGGCTCAGTTCTGTTGCCTTGGTCAGATGTTTTGATCAGGGAGTAAATAGGAAGGAGGTGTTTTAGGTCCTTCTCAAATTCACTGTTATCCAGAATAATAGTGTACCTTAGCACTACCAGGCAAACAGGGAATTGGGAAATTTGGCTTTTTTTTTTTTTTTTTTTTTTTTTTTTTACTCAAAGAGTTTGGAGAAATTTGTGTTCTGACTTGGGCTGATGGGAAGGTGGTAGCATTTCTGCAGGGATCAGATTCCGGTAAGTTTTGCCTTCCGATGGAAAAACCATTTTTCCTTTCGTAAAGCAGAGGCAGAAGCAAAATTACCTGCCTGAGCCATGTTGCCACATTTTCATAGCAAAGCCAAAACCTGAATGTTCAGGTGAAATTTCAGAAATAACACCGCACATCTACAACCATCTGATCTCTGATAAACCTGACAAAAACAAGCAATGGGGAAAGAATTCCCTATTTAATAAATGGTGTTGGGAAAACTGGCTAGCCATATGCAGAAAGCTGAAACTGGATCCCTTCCTTACACCTTATACAAAAAATAACTCAAGATGGATTAAAGATTTAAACCTAAGACCTAAAATCATAATAACCCTGGAAGAAAACTTAGGCAATACCACTCAGGACATAGGCATGGGCAAAGACTTCATGATTAAAACACCAAAAGCAATGACAACAAAAACCAAAATTGACAAATGGGATCTAATTAAACTAAAGAGCTTCTGCACAGCAAAACAAAACTAGCATCAGAGTGAACAGGTAACCTACAGAATGGGAAAAAAATTTGCAATCTATCCATATGACAAAGGGCTAATATCTAGAATCTACAAAGAACCTTAAACAAATTTACAAGAAAAAAACAAACAACCCCATCAAAAAGTAGGCAAAGGATATGAACAGACACTTCTCAAAAGAAGACATTTATGCAGCCAATAAACATGAAAAAAAAGCTCATCATCACTGGTCATTAGAGAAATGCAAATCAAAACCACAATGAGATATCATCTCAAGCCAGTTAGAAAGGTGATCATCATAAAATCAGAAAACAACATGCTGGAGAGGATGTGGAGAAACAGGAACGCTTTTACACTGTTGGTGGGACTGTAAATTAGTTCAACCATTGTGGAAGACAGTGTGGTGATTCCTTAAGGATCTAGAACCAGAAATACCATTTGACCCAGCAATCCCTTTACTGGGTATATCCCCAAAGGATTATAAATCATTCTACTATAAAGACACATGCACATGTATGTTTACTGTGGGACTGTTCACAATAGCAAAGAGGTGGAATCAACCCAAATGCCCATCAATGATAGACTGGGTAAAGAAAATGTAGCTGGCACACATATACCATGGAATACTATGTAGCCACAAAAAAGAATTAGTTCATGTCCTTTGCAGGGACATGGATGAAGCTGGAAACCATCATCCTCAGCAAACTAACACAGGAACAGAAAATCAAACACTGCATGTTCTCACTCATAAGTGGGAGTCGAACAATGGGAAAACGTGGACACAGGGAGGGGAACATCACACACCAGGGCCTGTTGGGGGATGGGGGACTAGGGAAAGGAGAACATTAGGACAAATACCTAATGCATACGGGACTTAAAACCTAGATGACGGGTTGATGGGTGCAGCAAACCACCATGGCACATGTATACTTATGTAACAAACCTGCACATTCTGCTATGTACCTCAGAACTTAAAGTATAATAAAAAAAAAACTGTCTAAAGTGAAGATAATGAACATTCAGCTCAAGTAAACGTTTTTTTCACACACGGAACATATTGGCAGTCAATCATGTGATTAGAATATGCATTAAAATGTTGGGAAAAAATGCTAGCCACTAATTCCAACATGTTTAAGATACTGTGTAGGCTGAGCAAAAACCAATGGCTCTAGGTCAGCAGTTTGCAATCTTTGAGTGAAGAGATATCAGGAGAAGCAAGCAGGAGTTTTCCAGTTGCTAAGACCATACAGAAAGACAAACACGGTCTATGCTTACAGGAGGCGTGGTACAGATTTTGTGAAAAGACTCTCAAGAAAACCCACTAGAAGGTTCTTACAGGTGGCAGTGGTGCTCACCTTGGTCCCCAGAAAACAGGAATCATTCAAATGTATCAGATGAATGAAAAAAGAGGGGTTAAACAACAAATCATTTTTTTCCTTGGAGAAACCTTCAATGGCCCTTTATTCACCCTTGGTCTTCAGAGTGCTGACCCCGCAGCTCTGTGATACCCCTCCCTGCTCCCACCTCAAGGCCCCCTGCCCTTTCTGTCCCTGCATCTCCAGGCCCTTGCCCAGGGGTCCTGGGAGTGAATGGAAGTGATGTTTGCCCCAAGTGTCCCCATGGCAGGAGGCTGGGGCCTGCCGGCCCACTGCACAGCATGGCAAGCCTGGCATCCAGGGCACGGGCGTCCTGCCTTGGGCTGCGTTTGGGTTCCTTCTGCATGCATGTGAAGCAGTGGGGTTCTCCCAGTGAGCCAGAAGGGGCAGTGCTGGTGCGGCCTGTGGGAAAAGCAGGGGAGGAAGCACATGGGGTCTTGGGTAGTGGCAGCGGGTGGAAGGAAAGTGAATGTGCCTAGTTACGCTGGGACTGCCGTGTGGAATTGGAACCATCACAAGAGCTGAGCTCCCGACCCTCAAGCCCCCTGCACTGCGGCACAGAGAGAAATGCCAGCAGGCTGCTCTCACCGTAGACCAGTCCCCGGTTTTCCACTCATAGCAGCCTGAGTAGTCCTCGCAGGCCTCCTCGGCTCTCGGCCTGGTGGAGGCATCGCATTTCCCTTGTGAGTTGGTGCACGCCACAGTCCGTTTCCGCACCCCTTTTCCACAGTTGGCAGAACACTGCAAGACACCATTCGAATATTTAATCCAGTTTCAATTTGATTCAAGTCCATCAGCAGCTATTAACTCCCTCCGAGGTGCCAGGTGTGGGATGATGCAAAGACGAAAACCCACACTTCTGTCCTCAAAAAGCTCATGGTCTACAGGGTCTTATGCACATGGTCCCAGCTGGGGCACCAGCCAAGTGGCCAGTGTTGGGGAAGGGACCCAGGAATCAGGAGTGGGAAGAACCTGGGGTACTCGTGAGGTCACATGAGGGGAGTGGAATTCAGCGGCCACTTGTCAGGTCCAAAAGCTTAAGGCAATACATGAGCTCAAAGGGCAGGGGTGTGATGGAGCCATGAGTGCTGCAGGGAACAGGGCCCAGCTGGAGCAAGGTGAGGCCCTGAAGCTGAGTCCCAGGCCCCAGATCTTCCCAGATGGCCTCCAGGTGCACGTGCTTTGCTTGGGCCAGCCTGGGACAAAGACCTCGATCCAGCCAGGACAAGGAGGAGGCAGAAGGAAGGAAAAACCGCAGGTGACTTTCTCGTGAGGCAGGTGGAAAGCCTTCGCAGAGAGCTCCAGTGAATGTTTTAACGCAGACACCAAGAATGGTGACAGAGGCATGTCCCCTGTGGTAGTTTACTTACTTTCGGGAGACCTGGCAAGGGGCAGTGGGGAGGGGACCTGGGCAGGGCCTGTGGGTGATGAATGATGTGCACGCCCTCCAGAGTTCAGGATTCCCAGCAGCAAGAAGGTGTGAAGAGACAGAGGGCGTGACAGGGTGTCAGCACAGCAGATGGGTGCTCTGGGGTGCATCTGGAGCCTGTTCCTGACATGCCCACCACAGATCTTGGGGAGGGACGGTGCCTGGGCTGGCAAGAGCACTTACCATCTCCAAAAGCAAAGCAGAAGGAAGCCCAGGCAGAGCTGACCCATAGCCTCAGGAGGACAAAACTCACAAACAACTTGGCCCTGGGAGCCCTGTCCCTGACACAGGCGTAAACACATAACTTGGAAAGATGGTGTGCAGAAGGCTGGATTCTGCTAAGGCGGTTTCATACTTGCTCACTTTACCAAAAATATGGCAGGCTACAGCAGTGACTTTCTTGAGTTATAACAAACTCAACTTTAAAAAGTTCTAGGCCAAATTCAGTAGTTCACACTCATAATTCCAGCACTTTGGGAGGCTGAAGTGGGAGGCTCACTTGAGGCCAGGAGTTCAAGACCAGCCTGGGCAACATAGAGACCCCCATCTCTAAAGAAAAAAAAAAAATCCCACTGTGTCCACTGGAAAAAAGGTACATAAAGGACAAATGTTAATCCTGATATTTGTTATTAACATTTATCCAAAAATATGATCTAGCTTTCTCTCTTATTTTTTTTTTGAGATAGTCTCACTCTGTCACTCAGGCTGGAGTGCAGTGGTGCAATCTTGGCTCACTGCAAGCTCCTGGGTTCAAGCAATTCTCCTGCCTCAGCCTCCTGAGTAGCTGGGACTACAGGCACATGCCACCACGCCTGGCTGATTTTTGTATTTTTAGTAGAGATGGGATTTCACCATGTTGGCCAGGATGCTCTCGATCTCCTGACCTCATGATCCACCCGCCTTGGCCTCCCAAAGTGCTGGGATTACAGGTGTGAGCCACCACGCCCAGCCTCTCTTTCTTATGAATTCAATTAAGCTCTTTGTCTAAAGATCCTATGAGGTTTTCTTTCAAGGCTAATTTAGGCTGGTTTGAAATACACATGCTTCAGAACTGGCTGCAATGTCCCCTTCAGGGAGTGGAGAGAGTTGCTGTGTGTGGAGTGTGGAGCTGGTTTAAAGGGTCCTCAGATGCCAGGGGTCAGTCCACGGTGGGCTTTGCATGCAGGAGCCCCGGGGCACTGCACTGGAGGGCTACCCCTTGCTTCTCTGTGTGGCAAGGTTTCCTGACCATTTCAGCAACTCTGTCCTCACTGTCTGACTTGTGGGCTACCCCTGGCACCAGCACCCACACAACTTGCTCCTCTGCAACCAGGAGCCCATGCACCATTTCTGCCTAAGTTCACTGTTGCCTGGTCTTTACTTTGCATTCCTCGCCTCTTCCCCTTGAATTTCAAGCTCTGAACATCCAGCCTATTTCTTAATCAAACCCTGACCCTTAACCAAACTCTGACCAGCAACCTATTCTTTCTGAAGCCTTTGTCTAAGCTGTGCCACAGGCTGCTGAGGTCAGCTCCAGCTCCAAAGGGGCCTAGGAGGGTGCCCTTCAGTCTCTCTGCTTTCCATCACGGGCGGGGCCTGCAAGCTGAGGACAGGAGAAACTCACTACCTTTTCCTTCCCTCTGGATATTTGATCCTTCTTCTAATAAAGTCGGGAAGAAGCTGGGGGTAGGTAGTGAGAGCAATCAACACAGCTGGTTGGATAAAAGTGAGCACGTCGACAAAAACTCTCCCTCAAGGAACTGAAACCCATTTGCTTCCAGCGGAAGACAGACTCACTCTGGGACTTCAGTACTTGGGAAGCGGCAGAAGTACTAGCTTCGCGAGCTTCCCGTGGGGAATGATTTGATTCCAAGTTAAATGTTCAGAAGAAAGCGTTTTGTTCAAGCCTGGGCTAAACCAGAGTTAGGCTGACTGGTGTGGTGCTCGTTCGGGATTAGGATTAGGTGTGCACATAGATACAGGCACAGAGAAATTTATTTAAATCTTGCTCCCACTGTCTCACATTTTCCAAATGCAGAGATCTTCAGTGCTGTAATGATAATTGATGATGTCAGGCTTGTTGGGGAGGCATTTTTTTCCTCCATAAAAAGAGTCTGAGTGGAATTTTTTTTTTTTTTTTTTTTTTTTTTTGAGACAGAGTTTCATTCTTGTTGCCCAGGCTGGAGTGCAATGGAGCAATCTTGGCTCACTGCAACCTCTGCCTCCCGGGTTCAAGTGATTCTCCTGCCTCAACCTCCCAAGTAGGTGGGATTACAGGAGTGCACCACCATGCTTGGCTACTTTTTTGTATTTAGTAGAGACAGGGTTTCACCACTGAGTAGAAAATTTATAGTTTTGATCTGATCAAAGCACAAATCTTACTTGGATCGAGAGCTAGGCAATTAAAACCCAAAGGCTCACCTAGGGTACTGGAAAGGGGAGGGGGCTGAATACCTGCCTCAACTCTGCCAGCAAGCGGCCGAAAAAAATCCCTCTAATGTTAAACTGACAAATGTCAGCATATATAAAGAAAAAAAAACAATCAAACAACAAAATCTCAAACTCTCTTCCTTTCCTAAAATATCATAAAATGTAGGATAAAGATTCAGATCTATAAACAAATACATGCCACAATCTGTTTGAAAATTAACCTTTGTTTTAGAGCAGCCAATGGCAGAGTTTTCCTTCATTAAAAATGGGCTGAATACTTTGTTATTCAAAATAATTCCAACTGTTTGGCAATAGAGGGAACTTTAAAAATATTTTCCACACTAAAGAGTGTCTTGGATGAGCCTCTCTGAGTTTCCTAGACTACTCTGGTGGAAGACCTGAGGGAAGCCTGCCCTTTATTCAGCTTTTTTTTTTTTTTTGAGTTTTATAGCCAAACAGTCAAAATCATTAATGCAAAGTCAATGCAAAGCCCTGAAGGATGACATCACCAAAGATAAAATCGTACTCCCAGGACCAACCTTCAAAGTTAAGACTTAAGGCTTAATCCACTTCTTTCCAAAACATTTTATGGCATGACATTTGTAACTCCAACTTGCACACTAAAAGCTGTCCCTCCTGGCATCTGACTCTTGTATTCTACAAAGACTGCTGGGGGATTAAAGGAAAACCTTTGAAACCACCTTCCCAGCCTGAGCACACCACAGTTAAATACACTCAAAGGAGAATTAAAAAGTCGGTCAGTATCTGTCTGTCCTATCTTGATGTGGGAATTTTCATAGGAAATGGGATCAAATTGTCCTTCACTGTGGTGTCAACATGTACATCATGAGAGACATGGTATCTGTGTTTTTGTAGCCACGCTGTTATCTGAGATGGAAATTAAGAACACATGAGCTATAACACAACTTCGAGCTGACCTGGGGGCGAGCGAGGGCTGGGAGGCACCAGAATGTCACCAATACCGTGGCACCGTGTTGGAGTCCCTGTGGCTGAGTCCTGGCGGCAAGCCCAGGCACCCACCTGTGACCACTCAGATGCCTCCCAGATGGACAGGCAGTCCTGGCCTTCACAGCTCTGCACTGCCGCCGGCCGGGGACCCGGGCAGTAGAGGGGCCGCGTAGCGATGTGTGTGCCGTTCTGCAGCTGGTACACGCAGGTCACCTCCCGGTGCTGGAAGCCTTTCTCACAGGTCGCCGAGCAGGGGCTCCACGGACCTGCTACCCACCTGCCAGACAGGAGGAAAGAGAGAGAGAATGACTCGGGTGAGAGGCCAGCCTCTCCGGAAGGCCTTCCAGCCGGATCCTGGAATTGCTGCCCTGTGGTGGGAGAGAGGGAGGCAGACTCGGGAAGCTTTTCAGTCAACCTTGGGCATAATTCAGAGTATCGGCACAGAGGGAATGACTTGAGTGGTCCTCTGGTTGGATGGTCTCCTCAGCACAGACATCTTTCTGCAATCAACACCCCTACGGCAGACGGAATTATCTGGTCATGGCCTCCATCTAGGGAATTACATATCTGCCTGTTGTCACAGGACCTGCTTCTTTTGACAGGGTGTGAGTGAACAGGATGCTGGCCACGTCCCGGCAGAAGCTCTGAACGTGGTTATGCGGTTTGGCTCTGATTCTCTTTGCTTCTTACCCTCTGCAGGGAGAACAGTCCCAGTACAGGGAATGCCCCTACAGACAGCCTGCACCACTACCACCTGCACTTCTGTCAGTGACCGAGATGTTGGAGTTGTTTGTCATTGTGGCAATAGGGGATTGATACAGCCATTGACAAAGAACCCCCACACCAGTCCCAGCTTGATTAACCAGAACTAGGCCCTCCCTGCTTTCCAGAGCCTCCAGGGATGGCTGTGATACTTGAGAGTGGCAAGTTGTGGGCTGTGGGAAGACAGAGGCTGTTGAGTTTGGCATCTGAAAGTGTTCTTCTAAAACTTCAACTCAGGCCGGGCAGTAGCTCACGCCTGTAATCCAAACATTTTGGGAGGTTGAGGCAGGTGGATCACTTGAGGTCAGGAGTTCGAGACCAGCCTGGCCAACATGGTGAAACCCCATCTCTACTAAAAATACAAAAAATTATCCAGGTGTGGTGTCACATGCCTGTAATCCCAGCTACTCAGGAGGCTGAGGCAGGAGAATCGCTTGAACCCAGCGGGTGGAGGCTGCAGTGAGCTGAGATCGCACCACTGCACTCCAGCCTGGGTGACAGAGCAAGACTCTGTCCCCCACAAAAATAAAAACAAAAAATAAAACATGAAACTTCAGCTCCCTGCGCGACAGCCTGATAATCCGATGCAGCAGGCGTCTGTTGGCCTCAGGTCACTGGACAGCAGCTGAGCAGCTTGGGAATCATGCTTCCTCAGGACACACATAGGCTTTCCAGTGCCCTCTGGGGAACACTGAGGGATCTCGACTGCTTGGTTTCTGGATGAGCCAACTGGCTTTGCCCTTTCTTGTCCTGCCTCATAAACTCCTTGCTCCCAAAAGTTCACCACCTGACAAAGCAGCTTGACCTGCGCACCGCCAGGTCTCACAGCCACTCAGTTCCTCCTCATTAGTCAAAAACAGTCCTGAATCCCGCCCCAAACCAAGTCTGATCATGCCGTGCTAGGCCATCCCACTGTTGAGCAATGTCTACAGCTTTTGCCCACTGGGAGGATCCTTTGAATGGGTACTGGATGGTGCCAACTGTCTCTCACTTTCCAGTCCCAGCTGAATGGCTCATTTGACCATCCAGGCGCTGCAGATTTACTGAGGGCCTCCCACGTGCCAGGCACCTTCTAGGTTCTGATGAGTAGGCAGTGAGTGAAACAAAGTCCCTGCCCTCTGAAGCTTACATTCTCAGGGGGGCAGACCATATATGCCCAGTGAACCATATATATCACCATAGCATATATAACAAATGTACTAGATGAGATTAGAGACCGTAACACACAGTCACAAGTGCTTTAGAGACAAGTCAAGCAGTGTGAGCAGAACAGGGAGTAGGTGGGGGTGACTGCTATCTTACAGCAGGATGCAGGGAAGGCCTCACTGGGAAGAGGACATCTGAGCAGAGCCTGGGAGGAAGTGAGCCCTGTGGCTACACGGGTAAAGGCTTCCAAGGCAGAGGTCACAGGGGTGCAAAGGCCGTGGTGGAGGGGCACGCTGGTGGGGTGGAGGCGGAGTGAGGGAGGGGAGAGTGAGAGTGAGGGGAAAGGATGGGATTTGGGAGGCAGAAGGGTGAGATTCCCAGGGCCTGGCTGGCTCAGGTGGCTGTTGTTCAAATAAGATGGAGTCCTGCAGGGTTTTGAGAGAGGAGTGACATGTTCCTTTTGGCTCTGAGAGGGCCACCGGCTCGGTATGGATGCCAGTTTATAGTGGGCAGAAGAATGGCAAGGCGACCAGAGGAGGCTCCTGCAGCAATCCCGGTGAGGATGGGGCTGGTTTGAACCAACTGGGGTGGCGCTGGCATCTCTGGTGCTGAGAAGACAGAGCTACCTGGGCTCCTCCCCTCCATCCCAAACTGTCCCTCCTTGTTCCAGGGCACCTCTTCTGAAGCTAAGTCCTAATCCCCTTGGCAGACTCATGACTCTGTCCTCAGGCTTCCGGGGCCTAACTCCAGTGAAGCCTTTCTTGGATCCCTGGCTCACATGGCCACAGTGATCCACAGTGACTCCCTCGGGGTGCAGTTGTGAGGACAAGTGGCACATTGTCCATAAACTGCTTACAACAGTGTCTGGCACACGGACACCCATGTAAATGTAACTCTTAGCTATCATTGCTGTCACTGTCTCCTCGGTAAGAGATGGAGAACTCCTGCAGGGTGGCCATGAGTCTCATCTCAGCACCCAGCCACTACTCAACACGAAGAGAACTGAGCTAAATTCTACACATTTCTCCTAGTTCATTTCTCCTAGTTTCTGGTCTTTGGAGTAACCCAGAGACCTTCTTAAATATGTGAAGACAGCTCTTTTGTTCCCCTTTAAGTTTTCTCTTCTTTTGGTCAAAAGAGTTTGTGTGGCAGATGTTCGATCCCTCCCATTCATTTTCTATTCAGTCACTACTTTTCTTACAGTGGACAACATGGCCCACTGTGGGCCCAGTGGGCCCAGATGTGGCCTGGAAGCAGCAAGAATGAACGTGATGAATAGGGACAATAAGCACACACACACTAAAAAACTAGTCACTATCTCCTTTTTTTTTTTTGAGGTGGAGTTTTGCTCTTGTCACCCAGCACCCAGGCTGGAGCACAATGGCACGATCTCGGCTCACTGCAACCTCCACCTCCCAGGTTCAAGCGATTCTCCTGCCTCAGCCTCCCAAGTAGTCGGGCTTACAGGCATGCGCCACCACGCCCGGCTAATTTTTGTATTTTTAGTAGAGATGGGTTTCACCATGTTGGTCAGGCTGGTCTCAAACTCCTGACCTCAGGTGATCCACCAGCCTTGGCCTCCCAAAGTGCTGGGATTACAGGCATGAGCCACTGTGCCCGGCCCCAACCATACAGCTCCCCTAGAATACATCTTAACACTAAAAATATAGAAGAGACATAGTCTCAAATAAAGGAGACATCTTTAAAATGAATAAAAACCTATGTTTATTTCTCTCATTACTCCTGAGAAATGGTGAAAGCTTTCAGAACAGACTGGTTTCTAGAGTCATCACTGTAGAAATATTGACCCCAGGACACAGATCTTATGCCTGCTGGGGGCTATGGTCAAGAAAATAGAAGAACACTAGAAGGTGCTCTTGGAAGGAGATACGGAAAATATTCAATGGGGCAGACATTTACTGAGCGTCAACCAGGTTCACTAGACTTCTGGGCCTTCATAGGACCCAACACTCTCCCCAAGATGAGAATGACGATGGCCATGACCCAGGCATGACCATTATCCTTGAACCTAGAATAAGCCACATCTCTCCCAAAGGAAAAAAAATGTCTGTACCTGGGAAGAAGAGGCACAGAATAGGAGATTGGTAGCTGTGATTCTTTGCTTACAATCACAAAATAAACTGGTCCCTTTCCTTTTTGTTTTAAAAAAGGAACTGGACAAAATGGGCAAAACTGTGTATGCTAAGGAAACAGCAAATTTTCAACCAAAATATGAACAGAGAATAAGCTAAGAAACTAGGCGGGGGTGGCTGCTGTAATCCAGATTTGGACGGGGGCGGATCAGAGGTAGGACGAAATCCTTGACATGGTGCCTCTGAAAAAATAAAATGGGGGTGGGCGCTGTAGCCACTGGACTACAGAAATGCAAACCCACAACTTATGACTAATCGCCAGACCCACCTGGAAGACAGACCGCTCAAAAAAAAAAAAAAAAAAAAAAAAAAAAAAAAAAAAAGATGAACCATAGACGTGGGTGATAATGATGTAGTGATGTGTCAGGGTAGGTCCATCAGCTGTAACAAATGTAGCATCTGGTGGGGCAGACCATGCGTGCCTGTAGCAGGCAGTATATGAGAAATCTGTCTGTACCTTCCTCTCAATTTTGATGTGAACCTAAAAGTACTCTATAGAATCAAGTCTAGGCCGGGCGCAGTGACTCACACCTGTAATCCCAGCACTTTGGGAGGCCAAGGTGGGTGGATCACCTGAGGTCAGGAGTTCAAGATCAGCCTGGCCAGTATGGTAAAACCCCATCTCTACTAAAATACAAAAGTAGCCCAGCGTGGTGGTGTGCACCTGTGGTCCCAGATACTTGGGAGGCTGAGGCGAGAGAACTGTTTGAACTGGGGAGGCAGAGGTTGCAATGAGCTGAGATTGTACCACTGCACTCCAGCCTGCCAGCCTGAGGAAAAGAGTGAGACTCAGTACTCCCGGCCCCTGCCTCCACCAAAAAAAAAAAAAAAAGAATCAAGTCTATTAAGATTAAAAAAAAAAAGCTAAAACCAAAAAAAAAAAAAGAAAGAAATTTGAATGTGATTTTCTTTTTTAAAATAGGGACTCTGACTTCATCAATGTTACCCAACTTGATACTATTTCTATATTTTAAGCAGCCAGATTAAAACATATTAATCTCCCCATCCTGGGCTTCTTTTTGTCTCTCATGAACTGACTCCCACTGGATCTCCTTTGTCTTGCCCTTTTGCAGTTGACTTCGTGAATAAAGACGTCAGGCTTTAGGGTGAGACCTGTTTGGCGCTATTGTGCTGAATCCAACTGTGAAAACAGCTTTGAGTCTGCTCCCGCCTTTGTATCTGCTGTGCTTCCAGGGTCAAGCCTGAGAAGTGGGGC